GTGGGTTCGGTTCGACCGTGTCTTCGCGCCAGACAAAATTGCGGACTTCTATCGGAGGTACCCAGGTAAACCACGGCACATCGCCTCAGCGACCTTCGACTCCTTGCCCTTCCGAACTATGCGTCGGGACGCCGCATTCAAAGGGGGGTGATGTCAGGGAACCCCCTTGGCCTCCCCCTGGACCCTCCGAACGCATCCGAGGCGCATCCGACCGGCGCCCCCTCGGACGCTCCGACCCACCCCGACCATCGTCCACGGCCTCCTTCGCCCGCACAATCACCGATCCGTCAAGACCCTCCCAACGATCACCTTGGGACAGAGCCTGCGACGCCGCTCAGGCCTTCTGCGCTCTACGTCGGCAGTTACGGACGACCAGTATATAGTTGGCGCCCTAGCAGGCAGACCCTTAGAGTTTCTTCTCTTTGGATCCTCCCCTGCTAGGTCGGTCCCTCCGTGTATTTCCTGTAGTCTTATTCACGCTTTGGATCCTCCCCTGCTAGGCTTTTCGTCGGAGTCTCCAGGGTTGCCCTTACAATGTACTACAAAGACAAGTTTATTTGTATCAAAGAAACTACAGGGTTTTCCTGCAGATCAATACTCAAATATATCTAAGATTTTGTCAGGGGAACCTCCCTTTCGGCCCGGAGACGCGCCCGATTCCGGTCCGACTCCGGTTCCGACTCCGGTCCGGCCCTCCATCTCGCCCGCACAATCACCGATCCGTCAACGCCCTCCCGACGGTCGCCCTGGGACCTCGCCTGCGACGCCGCCCAAGCCTTCTGTGCCCGACAGCGGCAGCTACGGACAAGCAGTATATAGTCAGCTACCTAGCAGGCGGACCCTTAGAGTTTCTTCTCTTTGGATCCTCCCCTGCTAGGTCAGCTTCATTTGTATTCGCTTACCAATGTTCACGCTTTGGATCCTCCCCTGCTAGGACCTTGATCTCAGGCCTCCGGGGTTGCCCTTACAGATTTATCTCAAGCTTTTTTTTCTTTGTAAAGATCACAGATTGAATAAGTAAATAAATATGGTTATTAGACAACTTTACTTCAAGTTTCTCTACTGGAAAAAGGATAGCTTTGTCCATAGATCTCCTTTGTGTCAAAGCTACTATTTATATAGCAGTCTCAAGAGGTCAGCAGGATTTCTGTCATGGATAAGACCCGGCCCACCTGCTCTGGCGCTGGGTGCGGGCCATTGTGGGCCCATAACATGCAGCACGTGATGATGGGGAACATGTGCCCCAGTAGAAGGAATGCACACGTGGGAAGCATGTGACCGAGAACGACGTGTCGAGTCGTTGCCGAGCCCAACTTGACACCAGGGGACTGGGGAGGAGTGCTAGGAGGTTAGGAGTAGCGCCTGGCTCACAAGGGATGTACGATCGTCCCCTCTGCAGCTAGGAACAGGGGCAGGAGGAGGAGCAGGAGAGGCCAGGGTGTCCGATCACCCCTTTGCGGGCCCACGTATATAATGTGCGATAGCGTACCATATACTCCATTGCTTAGATCATCTATAATACCGCTTCTCTCTGTGCAAGGAGGAATCACCAACACAGTGGGCCTGAGACAACCCGATTCGAACCTCTGACTACCACCAGCGACAAGGGACCAAGTTAACAGGCCCTTTCGGTTTCGATCTACCCCGCTCGCCTTACTCGCGGGCCCGACGATTCATCTGTTCTGTTCCAGGCGCATGTTCTTAGGAGAGGACCTTGCACAGCTCAACCTGCAGTCTGACACTGTTAGACTATCCAGAGTTTCCTCAATGCCCTTGAGCAATCATCTTGACCATTGTGTCCAAATGGAGACATGCCAAAGTCATGACTCATATAACTACTCATGGCTGCTTGATAGAGATCCTGCTAACCTCTGGAGCAGTCTTATTATACAAAGAATAGAGAGATAAATCTGGAATTTATCTCTTGCCTTTCTTCCATAACTTTCCCAAGGGGGGGGGGGGTTCTAGATCAGCCCAGTGTATGTTATGTTGTAGTGATAAGTATATACACTCTAGACTCTAGTACAGTATATACTGCACAAACTTAGCATTCTATAAGAAAGGAATTGTACTAAGTAGATGCTAGTGCAGTAGTTATTTGACTTTTGTAACTTGAAAAAAATAATGTTTTATCGTAATCTTATTATACAAGAGAGAACCCGTGAGAGTATGTGTGACAGCTCTGATGAGCCAATAGGAAGGCCCAGTTAGGATTTCCTAATTTGGGACACAACTTTTGCAGGCAACGACACGCCCGTGCGTAGCACAGGCTACTCCTCGTAGTGTACATTTATGCAAAAAATAGGGGGAAATGATTGAGATTTAGCTAAATAGTCACTAAAGCAAGGTGTTTAGGCTGGCCACTTGGCCAGCACCTAGTATCATCACGTGTTATTAGATAAGCTATTCGTCTTTTTCTTGCAACCCCAAACAGCAATATGGTTCCTTCGCTGATCTCACCCACTCTAACTATGAATTACGGGCCCCCGATGATATTACAACCATGATGTCGCTTGCTTCCTCGAAATGGGCTGTTTGCTGCTCCTCCTCGATTTTTCTCTGGCGACGGGTCAACTAAATATGCACTGTGGGGTCTACACTGTCACGGCATACCAGCATGGACAGCTGGGCTGCCCTGATGTCTCTCCTGCACTTTCGTATCCTAGTGGAAAGCCCGCCAAACAGATAGAGGTACTCCCGTGCTGAACAGTTCAACCCGTATTCGTGCAGCAACTGCGAGCGGAGGATCGACTTGGTCTCTTGCGCACTGCGTCCCTTCAGCTGTCTTGTATTGTGCCTATTGGGAAATGAATCCCTACTTGACTATTTGTAATCGAATGTCCAGCCTGAACCTGCGGTCGCGCAAGAGGTGCTCTTCGCGGGCCTTGTCGAAGAGGTCTTTGGTTTCTTGGATGACGCGTTCCAGATCTTGCATGCGCTCGTGGGGGACAAAGCGATGGGCGTAGCGGATGCTTGTGTAGAGGAAAAGCCCTCCCAGGAGGACATATGGGGCGATGGGATTATCGATGCTTGGCAAGAAAGCAAGGAATGCGCTGGTAGTTGGGGCCATGGTCCTTGGTGAGTGGCCACACAAATTTGGAGGAGGGCTTTATAGCCTGCTCTTTGTTCCAATCCAATTGACTTGCTTTTGTACATATCCCGCGCTTCTTCCTCTCTCTCCCTCTCTCTCTCTCCGACCGGACTCCGACCCTAGATGATATCGGCGCCCGATGATGGTATAGAGCAAATATAACCAACGTATGACGAATTGAGGAGCGAACTCAGCGAAGTCAAGCTCTGCACTTGCGAATGTCCAAAACCTGTCTCTGCTTTTTGACACCTCGAGGACGTATCTGTCTGCATCCTGCCCTCACCACCCATCGCGATGCTACTTATAACTTTGCCTCTCTGGAAGTCCCTCGGTCCGCGGGTACAAATGGGCGGGCATTCACAGCTTTAAAAACGTCGACTTCTTGTTCTCCATTTTTTGACACAACCATGACAGATTGACCTGCATCCTGTCTGGGAACTTGAGTTCAACCCCGCCTCCCTCTCCGTGTGGTATAGCTATCCAATCGACCACGCGACGAGTCGTGGAATAGTCCAAGGCAATCCCAATGACAGAGAATCTTTGGCCGAGATATGCTATTCTTATGTGTGGGAGCGCTAGCTTACACAATATATTGAAGTTGTCAACGCGAGCACACCCACAAACACACCCTCGAGTTCATAACAACTAACTCCAAGTCTCCAACCCCAACGCAAGCTTAAATTTCCCAAGCCTGTGACTCTCAACTTGGAACGTCCACTTCAAAGTATTCCTTGCACTCTCAAGATTCTAAGTCCCTTTGCCTCATCCAGATGCCAACATGAACATGATTTCCCCCGCTTCCTCTGAATGCACACTATGTCTCGTCTTCTCCATTTCGCTCTAGCCAACTCAAGTCAACATTGGAATGAAATCGAGCATTCACGACGGAGGGACATACCAGAATTGACAGCTGTGTGGTCCTGACCTCGTCGCGGCACCGTCGAATTTTGAGCGCAAGATCACCGAATAAGTGGAGGTATTGTCGATAAGACCGGCCCAGTCCATATCGCTGCAGCATCTGGGAACGAAGGAGTGACTGCTCTTCCTGCGCACTGAACATGTCAAGTCAGGCCCGGCTTGTTTGTCAAAGGGGAGCAATACCGAGTTATGTGTAGTCGGATAGTCCACCTCAGGTGACGATCTAGCAGGAGGTGTTCTTCTCGGGCTTTGTCGAACAGGCTATTAGTGTCCTGGATAAGCCGCTCGAGTTGTTCCATCCTCGCGTGGGGCGCCAGAGGCGTTGCCAAGTGGACGGTCGCATAGAGAATCAGTATGCCGAGGGCGAGGTACTGCAGGATGGGATTGTCGATGCACGAAACGATGGTGAGAAGAGCGCCGACAACTTTGGCCATGTTACTTGTGAGCAGTGAGCAGTAGCGTCTTATATGTCGGTATTGCAATGCATCCTCGCACCCGGTCCGAAACCCGTGGCGGGAGGCAAATCCCTGGGAGCGGAACACCGGTCCTGAGCTGCCAGCGCATGAAGTCGCAAACGAAAGTTGTCGGAATGACGAAGTTGCAGCCTGCTTTTGCCGCAAAACTCAGTGTTAACGCAACTGGTGGCAAAGTAGATCAATCCATTGATGACAAGCCGGTTCTCCGAGAGCAACCAATTCGGGAAAGTCAACATGGATGTTCAATAAAATGTGCGCGGGGACTGCTCGATGCTGTGACACTTGCATCTTCGATGTCAGCTTGAAGCGTTCGTTCTGAAAGGCACTGTCCACTTGGAACTTCAATATAGCGCAGGAAGCAGTTCGGATGGTCGCACCGAGCGCAACGCGGTACGAGCCATTGTATTCTGGTCGAAGCAGTTAGTGAAGAAATGACATCATGATTTCGATTTGTAAGCGGGTCCACTCTTTCCTTCAAAACATGGACAACAAGATATAGCCTCCAGTCCTTCCACTTAGTACAACAGCGCATTCGTCCGAGTCTTCTTTCCATGCCGGCGGGTTACTTGGATCCATTTAGAGGGAGTCGTAGCTTCGTGCGCGTGAGTTATGCTGCTCAGAGTCTTTGTTACGATGGGATATTGACGCCGCTCAGTCGATAAGACTACATCGTCGCCCATATATAGCCGACAGTGTTTTCTCATCCAGTCACTGTGTATGATGTCGCCCGCCGAAATTCTGCTCTTCTCGTCGTATTCCAGCATGGAGTTTATCAGCGTTATCAACGCCTCTGCAGATTCCTCCTCCGTCAGCCACTCTCGGAACGAAACCTGGTACCCTGTAGGCACTGGCTCATCTGGAGCAAGGTACTTTGTTCGATTCGTCCAATTTGACCAATGGGGCTCAGGAAATTTACCCAGCGTACCGAGTATTGCGTTGAGAATCATGTCGGGACCCTCCGGCAAAAGGGCGGCGGCGTCGGCGAATAACAATTGCCCACCGGTGATGATCTGACAGATGACGGTGGCCAAGGCCCAGATATCGCTGGCCAGCGTGGCATGAGGCGGCTCGGCAATGATTCCCTCTGGTGGACGGAAGCACAGGGGGGAGCCAAGTTGGGGTGGTTTGGCTATCCCGGCCATATACGATTGGCTGAAGTCGCAGAGCTTGATGGAAGGTCTGACCAGGCATAATTGAAGGATTTCGAAACTCCTTTTGTACGGCCACACGAGGTATCGAGGTTGGTGAGGAGAAGGGTTGTGAGTGCGCGGCATCTTGTCCTCCTCTGCCTCGCCCAAGTCTCGAATGTCAAGTGACGGTGGTAGACACAAGAGAAAGTTCCCAGAATGCAGGTCTCCGTGAGCAATTCCCCGTTTGTGAAGATAGTTGATCGCGAGGAGGATTTGACCGATGATGCGACTTGCTATGCCCTCTGGCAGCGCCGAGCGCAGTGAGTAGAAATCGATGTCCACAGACAGAGGGGGGCCAAGGAGTTCTTGTACTATGCATAGATGCTTGCCGTTGGGACCCGTGTGGACTGGATGGAGGTTCATGTCATTGAAGCTAGCGACTCCTTGGATTGACTCACTAAAATGATCCAACATTCGTATGACATATTTGCTCCCCTCGTCCTCTGCATCGAACGTTGCATTGAGGTGCTTCATGATGACCAGTTCAGTAGACGACTTGGATCTCCGCGCCTCAAGGATTTTAAGGGAAGCATAAGTGCTGGTTTTGGAGTCCTGCACGAGCCACACAGTCGAAGAGATGCCAGACCCAAGCTTGTTGATCACTTGGTAGCGCCCTTGAGCAAACGTATCACCGAGATGAACGGGATGTAGCCCTCCTTTGTGGTAGCGTAAGGATTGGTCGGCCATGGCGGTGAAGGCAAAATTCTAAACAGGGGCATTCCTGTTTTGTTTTGACGGGTTTTCGCCCACCGGACAACTCTTATGTAGTCGAGGATTTGGCGAACTACTGAGGAAACGGACTTGGGATAGTAGTGAATGACAGTCAACAGAGGAGACTTCGTGCTGTCATATGGATTTGTAAGCATGATCACTCTTTCTTCTAAACGATGGTACAACAAAATATAGCCTTCACAGCTCTCGGCCGCTTCGACGCTAGCAAGACGCTCCCGATGCTATCACGACCATTATATCGCCTGCTTCTTCTTCGTGTAAATTCCGCTTCTCGTCCTCGATCTTTCTCTGGCGACTCTTTAATAGCGTCCAACTCTGTTGTGGTGGAAAGGAAACCCATACCAACAATGACAACCGGGCTTTCTTGATGTCTCTTCTGCATTTGCGTATCCTCGTGGCAAGATCGCCGAGTACGTACAGGTATTCTCGTGGCGAACAAGTCAATCCATATTCTTGGAGGAGTTGTGAGCGAAGGAGCGCCTTGTTTTCCTGGGCGCTGTGTCTCTTTGAGTGGTGTCCACATAGCACAAGACCGAATCATACCGGGCTAGTTGAAACTGAATGCTCAACCTGAAGCTGTGATCGCGCAAAAGGTGCTCCTCGCGTGCCTTGTCGAAGAGGTCCTTGGTTTCTTGGATAATGTGCTCAAGGTCTTCCATGCATGTGTGGGGGACCATCTGCCTGATGACGCGGATGCCAGCGCAGAGAATAAACCCTGCAAGGACAATGTACTGGATGACGGGGTTGTCAATGCAGGAAGTGAGAGTGAGGCAAGAGTTTGCGACTTTGGCCATGCATTCTCTATAAGGTACACAGCGAGCTTTATAAGGTGCATATCGAACTAATTTTATCAGAGACAGATATTGATCGGACGGGTGAAGGCTCTGTTGTCACGAGTGCTCGAGGATTAACCACGGTTACTCCCTGAGCGCTAGCTAGTTCGCCACGAGTCAAACATGATTAGATTAGATTTCCTATCCCACCATTGATCGTCATGAAGATTGCGATCGTACATATTCCAAATCTGCTACTTCCGCCGTACCGCCACTGCAGTCTCCCTTTCTTCTTGACCACCACTTGGCAAACAGCTGCTCTTTTACCGCCTATCTTGCTGAAGTTCTTTCGTCGATTTTATTTGTCCCATTGCATCTAGAGCTTTGGCTCAACTTACTTTGCGTCCGACTTGGTCTGAATCGCTTTGGGCTACAGTCTTTGGCAGGCCGCTACCTCAGTCTCTCTCTCTCCTCTCGACGACCATCTAACATACTGGTCAGTTTCTTGCTCCACCGCGGCGCTGCCAATACTTCACTTCCAGTCTGGCACAATGATCGTTGGTTGGCTGGACTTGGCTGCTGGCTCGACTTGAATCGATATCGCATAATGGTCATAACCACTCAAAATGATCGTTCTTCCTGACCTGGTACCAGCATTCATACTTACATGCTCTTTTTCAGGTTTTGGTGACGCATTTCACTCCGACCTGCAGCCCTTTGTACGTGTTTACTTTATGTCTACCCGCACACTCTCTCATGTTCTACCTTAGTCGTAGTAGACGTTTGGGTGACCGTGCTTCACTCTAGTTGCAGTCCCGAGAATCCAGCACCTCCATATGCCCAAAATGAGCAATTCTCCAGTCGGGGACCGTGGGACCGTTGCTGGGAATGCAAGCAAAAGTAGTGGCGATGCCGACGAAAAGGTGCACCATGATAGCAACACCTCAATCCCCCTCGCACTGGTCGCTCAACGCTGAACATCATGACGCATCTTGGCTCTGGGGAGGCGGTCCGTTCTTGGGTAATGCTGTAAATAGACAACTGTTGCCTGGTGCTTTCGAGTGCCTTCAAAGGGCCAGTAGTGTTGCCTACGTGATCCATCGCTTTACGAATTCAATTGTACAAATCGACATGTGCTTATTGGTGTCCTTATTTACAGTTGTTCCCCTTCGGTGGCTTGCTTTGCCCCTCTTGTTTTCCTGTGACGATTTGTTTGTTCGCGCAAGTATCAAAAATTGATGATCAAACGCACCTTGCCACTGCTTCTCCGCAACTTCGTGGTCTTCACCTCTGGTATGAGGTCTTTCAATCTAGGCAGCCGCCTAGTACACAATCTTCAAATACCGGCAGAGAGACAAAAAAAAAGAACGCACCCCGCGACGATCAACTTCGCCGTATCTTCGACGAGCTGCGCCATCTTGGCATGAATTTGCGCGTGAATGCGACTCCTACACTCGCTGCCAACGCCCAAGTCATCGGAAATCACCAAGGCCGCTGTGATGTATTCAAACAGTTCGAGTTTGGTTGGAGCCGTGATGAAGGGCGGCCACAAATTCGCGGCGTGAGCTGTTCTGACGGGGTCGGGGGTACTATTGGGGAAGAACAGCGACCATAGAAGCCTTTCGTCGCGGATGACGCTGTCCAGGAGCTACAATCAAGTGGTCAGTGGTGAATTCTGGTAATCATGACTCATGAATCACTTACTTGGAGTTCAGCGTCGAGCATTACGTGCGCACCGGTAACCTGACGGCGGGCCTGCTTGATTATTTGCACTAGGTGGTCGTGGCTAGCGCAAAGGACCCCCTCCGTTGTCCAACATTCGTCGTAGACCTTCGAGGCGTCCCATTCTGCGTCGGGGATTCAAGTTGGAGTGAGCTCGGACGTCTTGAGCTTGCTGTCTTGCAATAAAACGAAGACGAGAAGGTTTATAGAACTGGAGTCTGACTGGGACATGCTAATGACAGTCAGTTGACGATATGGCGAGACGGAAAGAACACACCATTCAAACGAGTATTCCAAAGAGTCCAAATCGGTTGTATGGAAACGTGGGTCGCGCTCGATATACACAGTAATGGACTTTTCTTGCGTGCGACTGAGGTGAGATCTGACAGCGCAGTGAGTGAAACAGTAGCTGGCGCTGGCGAGATAGCGAGATGCACGCGACGGAAGCAGTGATTGCCCGAGGGCCTGAGGGTCCTATGAAAAATAGGCCCTCAGGGCCCTATCCAGAGGCCCTCAGGTCAACGGAAACTAGTTAGAGGGCCTTAATAGGCCCTATTGATTGGATCATCTGTGTCATAATAAATGTGTCATGATCATCTGTCAATGAAATTTTTATCAGTCTTCTTCTTCACACTGCCCACATGGCCAATCTGTGAGATTGGTAAAATCCTTCCATGTCATGGCCAAGGCAAACACATCACACTACCACAACTACTGCAAAGTAACCGACATGCAAGCAGAGGCTAAGTATCTAAATGATCTTGCAGATGCCATAAAAGATGCATAACTTGATCATGGAGCCATTTACAATAGTAAATTTGATTATTAAATAATTTCCTTTTTTGGTAATGGCCCTATGTAGGGGCCCTATAAGTTAAGGCCTTAGGCCCTATGAGGCCCTAATAATTTGGGGGCCCCAAAATAGGGGCCCTAGGGCGATCACTGGACGGAAGTCGGTGTTGCTGACGACATTGGCAAGGCACGACAAGAAGGAGGGAGTCGGGGCACGGGGGCACGGGGTTGGCGAGAGAGAGTTTAAAGGAGTGTGGTGGTCGTCGTTGTTGACCAAGGTTGGAATGCTGCAAACCAAAAGTAGCACCAGAATTTATAGGACCTCCAACGCGATCGACGTCAAATTTACATCCGCGCTGAGGAATCAAAACAACACTCATCGTAGGACTGGAAAGGACTCGCAGAAGGAATCCAAGCGAGAATACAATTATCTAATCGAGTCTGAACTCTTAAATCTAATCAATCTAATCTCTTCATGACACTACCGACGACCTCAGCGTAGAGAATCAGCTAATAGAATACCACTTCGACCGTCTCCGGATGAAAGCTTCGTTCATGTGGAGGAAACAGCATGTACTGCAACCATTTTCGTTCTGTCTTGGTGAACACTGCTGGATACGAGCAACGGCGTGTTGTCCTTCGCGCCGTCTTGTCCCCAGTGCTCGCAAACAACAGCTCTGAATGCGCCATACTCAAAGAGTGCACAAGCCCCACGGCACTGTTTCTTACTATATTCATGAAATCCCAGGGAGTTGCTGACTGGCGAAGAGGAATTGTCGGAGACATCGCTCGATCGCGACATATGATTCGCGAATGTGTGCACTGTGAACCACTCGCGGGGAAAGTTTGTTGGGTAGAGTTGGGACATATCGATATTGTTGGAAGCGATCCGGCCCTCTTCTTCCTCAAGCAGCAAATGTCCACCGCGAAATGGAGCCCTCGTTGATGGTTGATAGGTCACTTCAAGCAGAACTCCCAGGTCCTGTCCTCCCCGCCCTCTCCCGTCTTTCCAGCGCCATGAGCCCTTTCCCCCTTCGTCATTCTATGTTCGTAGCTCTTCCACAAATTGCGATGAAAGACAAATGAGCGAAGGAGGATGTATGGTGGATTTGGGGGTCCGCTACTTGATGTTGGGGCAGGTGGGTTTTTTTGCCAGTCGTGGGACGTCCCTATAAGAGGTATAAATTAACTGCGTGATATTAGATGGGACACCACTTACCACTGGGTATATGGAACAACGTTGCGCAATGTAATCAACACTCTTCCGCGTTCTGTCGAGGTAACAGGTGGTGCCTCCATTGCTGAACTTTGAACTTCGTCGTCCTCGTCTTCTTCAGATGCAGTTTTACGCTTCCTTGAGGTATTGACTGCAGGTATTGGACCTTGTACTAAGAAGCCTGAGGCGGAGCGCAGAAAGCTGAGTATGAGTAACTGATTCGAGAGGATATTTCGATCTTGGTCTGCAATCCCTTTTCCTGGGAAAACTGTTAGCAATACCAATGGGGGTTAGCGACCGGTATGCATACCCGCGTGAGGGAAGTTCCACACGATTTTGTCCCATCTCCTCCCTTTGAACGCGCCGACTTTGTTCAGCTGTGTCGCGTCTACAGCAAAAAGCACCTCCGCGCCGGACTCTCTGAGCTGTGCGACGATTTCGACAGCCTCGGGGTATTTCTCGTAGCACTCTTCCTCCGTGTCGTATGCAGTTGCGGTGACATTTTTGGATGGCAGATGTTGCAGCTCTGGCGCAATTGCCGGTGGGTTGCGCACAAGCGCAAGCGCAAACGAGAAGTTGCCTTCCCCAATCAAGAGTATCCTGTCCGTCTCAAGAAATGGAATGGTCGGACGGCTGGTCGTGTCCTTCGCGATTTCCTTGCCCTTTCCCTTCCCATTCTTCTTCGATACCAGCTCCGCAGACAGTGCAGCTGCCTTCTCCTTCTCCTTCAGCCTAAGACGCGACTGCTGGGACTGCAGCGCGGCCTTGAGCGGTTTCTTCGATTTGGCCATCGGTGTTGTGGTCAGGAAGTGATCGCCGCCTGTCATCAGGCCTCGGCATCGCGAGCCATCAACTGCACCCGATCATCCCGCTTTCGGTAACTGCCACGTTAACGTGCAAGAAAGTCTCTCTCTTCCTCTCCACGTCTTCGTGACTTTGTCTTCAATCCGACATCCCACCGCCCCGCATACGCGTCTAGTCTCTCCTTCCGCTCTCATCCAAAATGGTGCGTGGCTGCGACTACGACCCTTGCCTTTCCTTGTCTGACTTCTCGCCAGCCTACCCAATTCGAAATGAGGCAACGCAACGCCAAGTTCGCATCCGCCGCCAAGGCGGGCAAAAACCCCACGCACCCGTCGCGCGCCGAGCAGCTTGCGAAGAAAAGCCCACTTAACCTCTGGGTCCGCTTCCCTCTCCTGGCTCCAGTGCATTTGCTGACCACGACTCGCAGTTGTTGGGATTGGTTGTCTTCGTCGTCTGTGGAGGAGGTGCGTTTCCTTCTGCTACCAGCACCAACAATACTCAACGCCTGGCAGTCATTTTCGAGCTTGTACGAATCATCTTCCTATGAGCGAAGGGATAGCCCGTGTACTATATACTTTTTATTTTTGCCTGAATGGATACACACAAGCTCAATCGTCGCCCGCCACGCTCTTTCCCTTGCTGCTCCCCGCTATCGGCGCTTGCTCGACACCCTCCATAGCATTGTCCTCCAGCTCTTTCTCGTTAATATTCACCGCGTCTCCAGCCCAAATCCGCATTGTCGGCTGCCAGACCATGACAATATTGTCTTCAGACGTGCTTGTCGCGGTCCAGCTATCGGCCTTTCCCGGCGCCCAGCAAAAGTCTGTTGGACGGGCGGTGTGTCCTCCGTGGACAAACAACAATTCTGGTGGCCCGTCTTCTTGGTCGTCTGGGGATTGCTCCATGCCGATCATAGACAGGTCCCAAATATTCACCCTCCGGTCGCCTGATGCTGACGCGAAAACGCTCGCCTCGTGTGGTGACCAGGAAAGATGCAGCACCTCGTCGGTGTGGAATTGGAAAGTGTGCAACGCTTTGCTCGGTTCACGCAGGTCGTGGAGAACAATCGTCTTGTCGGCACTTCCGGTAAGTAGTAGGTGCTCTTGAGCGGGGCTGAAAGCGACTGCGAGGATTTCTCTTTCGTGCGCTTCCTTGCTCAGTGAAGGCTGTGTCGGCGCGCGGGTATCCCAACTATTGTCCGGTGTTAGTAGGAGTGCAAGGAAACACAAACGAGCACATACATCATCAGCATTTTGTCGTCTCCAACGCTCGCAAAGACGTTCTCTTTGCTGGGGTGCCAATCAACATCCTACTTCGGCTGAGAACGAATATGGGCAAGTTATCCATGACCCACCCCGACTACGGAATTGTGACCACGGAAGACAGTCGTTGGCTCAATCGTCGCAGTCGCCTTTGTGTACGATGTGATGTCCCTAACAAAAAAATCAGTAATGGTTAATTCGAGTTGACGCGTCGCACCAATGGCAGATCGTCGTGTCTTCTGATGCGCTCAGGACATGGCCCTCCTTGAGCGGATTCCAGGCCAGGCCATAGCTTGAAAAGTCATTAGCAAATGGTCCTCTCTCAAATTTCGCTGACCAACCCTTCCTGCTTCTGACCAGTTAACCGTATATTAGGTGCGCACTTATTATTCCTATCCGGCTCATTGCTGTGCTTTGTACGGTCAAAGACCAGGACATCGCCTTGAACAGTTTTGGTTGCTATCAAGTCGGGGTTTTGGGGCATATATCGCGCGCGGTTTACTTCCCCTTCGTGGTTTATCCGCTGGACAACCTGGATTCGCGGAGCCGGGGGGATTGTGTGGCCGCCAAGTTCACCACGGTCGTCATCATAAGAGGCAGCGTCCAGCTTCTCCGCGCCGGGACCGGAGCGTTTTGGGATTTGGACAGTCGCAATTTGAACGTAGTCCTGCGCCTGCCCGGAAGTGTGTGTGCCCAGCAGCAGGCGGTGGGTCGTATACGGCTTGTTGGGAGAGCTTCCCCCAGATTTCAGCATCTGGTAAAAGACCGCAAAGGAATACGCACTTTTCGGTGTCAGGGAACCACTGGCAGGTCAAGCTGGGCCAATCGAGGGCGTGTGTGACCACAACGTCGTAGAGATACGGCGCGTTCTTTTTCCTGTTGACAGCTCAGCAAAGAAAATGTGAGATTAACGCTTTGCGAGCGTACCATGTCTTGTACTCCTCATTGATAAGCTTGTTCTCCTCCTCCGCAGCGATGTCGTCTTCGATGTCTTCGACCTGGGGACGCATGGATGGTGGCAGCACAGGGCAAAGGAATTGATGTCACAGTGACCAAACGCGTCGAGTCACAGTCACGCTACTCTCTTTTTCCCCAACTCTCTCTCGTTCTAGTTGTTTAGCAAACAATTATCCTTCGTGAATGATTCAAATTATTCCTAGACATTCAAGCTTGGTCTGGTCAGCTCCACTGACAATTGTTTGTCGAACCAACCGGCACTGCGAAGAAATATTCAGACTCTCGACGAACGTGTTACCATGGGACAATGAATATGTACTGGGCAGCTGATCCTGGTGCAACCTCGGAGTTTTTTTAGCATCCCCAAGTCCTATTTTTGAGACCAGTAATGGATTCAACATTGTCAGGTGCGATAGTCTGGGAGTCCCTCCAAAAAGCATCAATCCAGCCGCTTGGAGCGGTTTGCAAAGCCTTCCCACTTCGGCAGGTCGTCAGCAATGTCCACGATGCGCGTGTCATAGAAAATATGGCAAGTCGGTTTGACGCTCTCGAAGTCGATAATTTTTCCCTGCTCGTCGCGCTCCAGATGCGAGCCGCGGATGGCCCAGTTGTCGTTGCTGTCGACAGGGCCCATTCGAGTGGCGGCACAAGAGCGGCACTTTTCGCAGCGATAGAGCGTCAGGTCGCCCATGTCTTCGACCAGAGGTTTGACGTCTTCGCCGTTATATGTCCACGAGAAAGCAGCGGAAGAAAAGTGCATCGTGGCTACGAAGACAGCGCCTGTAGAAACTTGAGTAGCGAAGCTAGTAATTATAAGACTCACATACCATCAGCGCGTTGACATCTCGTGCAATGGCAAAACAAGCTGAACAGCGGTTTTCCCTCGAGCCTGAACGAAACCGCGCCGCAGAGGCAGCTCCCATTGTGCACGATAAGCTGCGCCGCCATGGGAGTCAGAGTCAAGAGACACCCTGTGTCGTCGCCGCGGCCAAACACCCATCTGATCGGACCCGCCACCGCCACTTACCAAATCCGGACCTAATGAGGCTCTGAGTCACGGTCACGCGCCCAGTTGTCAACCGTGCCTCGACTCCCACCACTCTTCGCGCGAACCACCCGCGGCCCGCTACTCTCTCAAATCCGACAAAGCCGTCTCTACATGCCTGTCTACGCCGTGAAGAAGGGCCGCCAGACCGGTCTGTTCGATACCTGGTAGCTTCGACATCCGGTTTTTTTTCTTGCGCGATTTGTCTGACTTGCGTGGTTGTAGGGACCAGTGCGAGGCCCAAGTAAAGGGATTTCAGGGAGCGAAATTCAAGAAGTTTAACAGCAATGCCGAGGCGCTCGCATGGATTGACGGAGAGACAACGACTACGACTTCGAACATTACTGCTTCGACATCAACGGCGTCTACTAGTAGTGGTGCCACCAAGCGCACCTCCTCTGAGCTACAGGCGACATCAGAAACCACATCTGCCCCCGCTACAGGGACCAAGCAAGTTGTCTATAGCGATGGCGCCTGCAAAAATAACGGCAAACCTAACGCTTTAGGCGGCATCGGTGTCTGGTGGGGCCCCAATGACCCGCGAAACCTCTCTGAACGCTGCCCCGGAAAGCAAACCAACAATCGCGCGGAACTGATCGTTAGTAGGATTACTCTGCTGACTTGTTATCTGATTGGCCCCAGGCCATCCTCCGCGTCCTCGAGGAAACGCCGCTCAGCACAGAGCCGCTCTACATCAAGACGGACTCGCGGTACTCCATCAGCTGTGCATCACTCTTCTCCTTATTTCCTGCTGACGTGCTTATGTAACATTGAACGCAGCTTTGACCGAGTGGTACCCCGGGTGGATAAGGAACGGGTGGCGGACATCTGCCGGCCCCGTCCTAAACAAAGAGTTGATCCAATACGTTCTGGCCCATCTCGACAACCGCAAGACACGTGGCCAGGAAATCGTCCTCCAATACGTCAAGGGGCATAGCGGGAATCCCGGGAACGATGCGGCCGATGCATTGGCTGTCGCCGGAACTTTCCTCCCCCAAACGCCCGAGCGCGACTGGGTCAAGCTCAAGGCTGAGCTGGAGCGGAGCCAACAACAGGAAGTGAGGACACAGAGCCCACCTAAGATTCGCAAAGTCGCATCTCCAACCCAGTCGCCTTCGAAGTCTGCTGCTCCTTCAACTTCACAGGTAATAATAGCTAGTATCCAAGTCGACATCTCTCACTGTTGTCTAGGGATCGCGGACACGGAGCCCGCCAAAGATTCGCGCAGCAGCGGCCCGCGGTCCGCCCCAGTCACCTTCTAAACCCGGCGTTGTCGTTGCCCCTCCAACTTCACAGGTACTCAACTCTTTGACATGGACATCGCTCATTGACACTGTTTGTTCCTCAGGAATTGAACGACTACGCTGCTGGTCTTTTAGACGACCCAGCTGCAGATCTGAGCTTTTAATCACCTCCAACTCCTTGCCACTCCCCACTTTTGCTGAAGAATTAGACGATAGTCGAATCAGGTCACTATGTCCCTTGTACAAGAACATATTTATTGCGCGACTGTACAAATGCATCGGGACAGCGAGATGGAGATGGAGATGAAGTGAGTGAGTGAGTTATTTGTGCAGAAGAAATGCAAAGGAAAAAGTAATAAGGGTAAAATGAACGTAGGTGGGTATGGTAATCCAAGAAAGAAGAAGTCAAAAAAGATAGCAAGTGCTATAACAAGACAGTGCTCTCCTTACCGGCAGCGACGAGGGCCTTCCACTCTACCCGCCACTGCGTCATGCTCGCACGCAGCTTCCTGTCAGCAAGCGCCCGCTCTATCCAGAGCAGCATCGCGTCTTCTGCCTCTGGCACGAAGAACGACGACAGCAGCGAGAGTATCGTCTCGAAGTTGGCTGACGCGGCAGTGATATGGTCACGGTAGACCCACACTATCGCCACCGCCACCGCAACAAACACATCCGGCCCCTCGAGCAAGAACGCGTCCCATAACCGGAGCTGGGTCTGGAAGGGCACCGAGTTGGAGAAGAGCGTGATGTACCACTTGGTCGCATATGACGTTGTCGAGATGGTGTGCTTCTGGAAGGCCTTGTAGACATCAGGCATCATCTGCTCTGTTATCCTTTCTTGCACGTATATCGCCTCCAGCAGTCCCGGAAAGCCAGGACTGAAGATTGAGTGCATTGAATACGCGTCGTGGAGACGAACCAGCGAGGCGTAGGTTTTTTCAGGGTCTAGATAACACAAGAGCGTTGCCGCGATGGGTCCCATGCCCTGAACGTAGCCACACTCTGAACATCGCAGAGAAAAACAGTGGAGCACATGAAACAGTGACCGTTGACTGAGCACCCATCAGCGCTAGTAACACGAAAAAATCAAAATCAACGCACCCCGCTCCGTATCTGGTTCGATAAAAAATATGACCACTGATCGTCCTCGGTACATCCAAGTCGATTTGGATGTCATACGTGGATGGCTTGTCCAGTGCGTCACGATAGTCACTCGCAAGACGAGCTGTGTCTCCGAACGTAGCCCGCGACAAGTTGGTCATGAACATCTCCCAAGCAGCCGGCCGCCATCGGTCGGGAACTCCTTTGTACGTCCTTAACCGCAGCTTGCCTTGTTTGGACTGCTTGACACGCCAAGACTGGACATTTGCCCCTTGGTCGCGACTCTCCGCCTGCATCATCTTGGTCCATTTCTCTATCCGTAAGTTCTCCTTGACGGGTGGAGTTGCTTTTGGTACTAGATTGAGAGACTGGGCTGATGGTCTGGCAGAAGAAGGGCCGCCGCGGACGACGGAAAGACGCTTGTCGAACGAGGAGGCTGGGAGGAGGATAAGACGGTCGTGAGAGGGTGTTGAGAAGAAGCCATAACTGGCAATTTAAGTTAGATAGAATCAAAAACACTAACATTAGCCTCACCGGTCCACAGTATGCAGTGTCTGTATCTCCCTTGGGTCTAATTCCTGCGACTTTTCCGTCCCGTCACCAACGGCATTTGCGGCATAGAGCTGGCTGGCTCTACTGGGGCCTATTCGTGCTCTTGTTCGCTCGACTCCGTCCTCAAAACCATCTCCCTTGACACCGGTCATGTCAAGTTGAGCATAGGTATTTCGGACGTAAAACCCATCGAGATCCTCGCCTTCAGAGGGCACCAATGAAGTCTTGCTGCCTGGCGCGCTGACGGGATGTTTCAGTGGCATTGACGGGCTTAGTGGAGCAGGGGACAGTGGCGCTGTCAGCGGTGGGGTCGGAGGGGGAGTTGGACTGGGGTTTCGGGACGGTGGTAATGGAGGTAGTACCAGCAACGAGTCTGGTCGCGACGAAACTGGTCGGGAAGAGGATGGTGTTGGTGAGTATGTGGAAGCGCGCCTCTCTTCAAGCATAGGGCCAGTGTAATGAGACGACAAAGGGCGGAAGCTGGAAGTCCGTGGTGGCACTCCATTGAGCAAGACACCCGGCCGTGTGAGGTCTATGGTGCGAGTAGGAGGTGATTTCGGTGGCAAATCGTCCGTGTCATCGTAGTAGGCAATACTGGAGCGTCCGTTGACAACGGGGAGAGTGACGCTAACGGTTGGGATGTGCTCCTTTGCCGGTGGAACTGGAGGCGCATTGCCATACATGGAGTAGATGGAAAAGAGAGTCGTTTCCGACTGGTTGCGAGTGTGGTCGCTAGTGTGGGTGATAGAAGAAGAGCCAGCTGACGAGGAGCGGGAGGAACTGGCTGGCGCAGCTGGGGGTTCCATACAAGGCGGTCAAGAAGAAAGAGGTTATATTGATCTGATGCGCACTTTCATTGCTTGCTTTACTTCCACCCTGACACAAAAACTCCACTCAACAAAGACCCACAAACACGGACAAAACTTGGTTACGACTCTCTACACGACAGAAACAGGCCTCCCAACGTGAAAATAGGGACACAAAAAAACACATATCATCAGCACATGCTACCGTGCGGATCGACGGGACCATCACTACTGTCTTCCCTCTGCAACTTCTTGTAGTCTTTCAACCGAGCCGACCGCAACTCTCTACCCAATGCCCGTGAAACTGGAAAAGGCACCGCATTGCCGATTTGTCGATGCATCTTCACCCGAATGAGCACTATTTGTGGCAGCTTCAAGCAACAGCGCACCGTGATGATATTATTGTTCTTCGCTTCGAAGACAAACCAGTCTAATGGAAAAAGTCAGTACCTTGATCTAGGCAACACCGGCAGACTTGCCTGGGAAGCCTTGTGATCTATCCTCGGCTTAACCTACAGCAACTCCAAGAGAGATAACCACACACCTTGCTAGCTCGCGAACGGACACCATCCTCAGGCACTGATAAATTACAGTCAACCACAGAAACTGCCAAGTTATTTGTCCTACATTTGGATGCAGAACCTTGCTCTGTTTGGCTGTGGGGTGGATGTTTGTTACCGTTGTTGGAAAGTATCCCGACCCGTTCAAGCGACCATACAAGTCTATTCAAGAATCGAGCCATCAGCCACTCTTAGTCTGGACACTTACTTCCGCGAAACATATTCCGACCAACGAAGGACAAGGCATGGCTGCTCTGGTATTCGTCCCGCAAATCCGATGGCAAATCTCGGTAATCCGCTCCACTCTTCAGTGGTACTGCAATAACACTGCCAATATCAAGACATGTGTGATGTTTGCATCAGCAACTCACCGTTCAACGGTTCTTGGGAGCAAACAACGTGTAAAATGCTGGAGGTTCTGTGTTGGTCGGGCCCGTGCCCATTTTTGGAAACTGGTTCGGGGCATGTGCTTATATTCGGCCTCTTCCAATCCACAAAACGCCTTCCCGCGGTCGCATTTTATTGCCAGGACACCAAGGTTCTTTCGAACTTCCAGTGTCCGCCTTAGCTCTTGCGAAGCCTTGCGCGGATTCGGGTGTTTCCTATCAATAAGCCTGAACGACTAATGCGAGGACTGGCTGCGCTTGCTTACCAGTCGAATTCCCGCAGGTCACCAATCGCGTCCTCAATTGTAACCGCTGCATGCGCAGCTCTCCCTCTGTTATTTCACGTCACTACATCCGTTCCAATAGATATTTCCTTCTGCTTACCTGGCGGTATTGATAGGGAAAACGAACTCTTTGAACTTGTTGACTGTCACGTCCGGAGGCTTGTGCCCATAAGGAAGCTTGATGCTCAATTGGTTGATCACCGGAAAGTCGTGGCTAGCGGAATGTCAGCTTAGCTATAAGAAATGCACGAAGGTATCAGAACGTTGGTTGTGGTAATTTCGGAAGGGTGTGCCCAGATTTAGCCGCGACAAGGAAGAAACGGATTCGATTCTGGGCAGCGCCATATGAACCAGCTTGTAGTAAGCCACATCGGACTTGATAACTGCGTGCAATAAATAAAGATAACAAATCAGACAAGGGTAAAAGACCTACTCCATCTCGAGCAAGGCACGGTAGGTCAATGCCAGTCCGCCCATGTCTTCTCCCCCTTCGACTGTATGGATACTGGTTTGCCTAGCCCCCAAGTTGAACCGCAGGAACCCAGGCACATTTTCGAGGAACACATAAGTGGGGCGGAAAAAATCGATATACGACAGTGTCGTAAGAATCAGGTTGCCCTTCTTGTCTTCTGCCTTGCGGAACATATTGAGGCCGGAATGTGACTGGCTACAACGCGTTCGCTGAGCAACGTAGAGAAGCATCAGGAGAAAAAATACCACGGCAGTCCCGCAAATATCGCCCGCATTTTCGTGTTTTTACCTCCCCGCATCGGAGGCGGAACGGGTGTCTTGTTATCCCAATTCTGAGCTGGCGTGGTGATGGTGTGGTATTCGGACGATTTGATGCAATATTCAAGAATCTTGTTAGCATCCTGGCAGTAGACAGAAAGATTTGGGCTGTTCTTTTGTGCAGTCCGGGCTGCAGAGGGAGTAATTTCGACGAGATGGGTTGGTTTCAGCCAGCCTCTTGTTCCCTCCGAAATGCCCCAACTAAACGCTCCTGTGAATTTCGATTACAGGACCCGTGCGGATGCAGTCTGGATAAGAAGCCTTACCAGTCCCGCCAAACAGATCCAGGCAATCGACATCCTCGCTGGCTTCGTCTTGATCGAACTTCTCTTCGGCCTGTTGGAGCTGGAACATGTCTGAGGGACAAAACTCGCAAACGTAGAAAGTGTCGGGTGAGATTGTTTGCCTGCTGTCTGGCCATAACGTCGACCGCGAGTCGGAATTCTGCGATGGGAGCCGGTAGTGCACATAGAAGTTATATGGCGAATAGCGAGTCCATCGCTCCAATTCATCTGCGTTTCGAAAGAAAGACAACGCATATACGTGGATGGGTCGAATGGCTTGGGTGACAGGAATTTTGCGGCGCTCGTCGGTCAATACCAGATGCCGTTCGGGCTGCAAACTAGGTCAGATCACGGGAAATCGAGGCGATCGGACCAACATCAAAGTTGTTGGGGTCGTTCCTGATCTCCTTCAACTCTGATATGCGGAGGACCAGACAGAGTTCGAGTTGTGGTGTCAGTTGGCGTGGATTAACGAGAATAGACTTGATGTATCCGATATGTGCTGGGCCATTAGCTGCTTCGTTTCGAAAAAGAAGGAATTCATGCGTATGGTACTTGAAGCCACGATATAAAATGCCGTTCTTGACATCCGCAGCACTATTGGGGTCATCGCGGATGAGTTTCCACTGTTCCGTTGCTTCGCGTTTTTCGTAGAAATGACAGTCCACACAACCATGCGGGGCCTGCCTGTTTTGAAACATTTCCTCGAGCTCGTGGTCAATGTCAGTGAACGACGCATCCCGACTATCGTAGACACGTCTGAGGAACAAATTAGGGTGAAAGGTATAATATCGGTCAAGAAAAGCATACCGAGCAAAGTAACTGTTAGGTTTCGTGTGGGGAGTATTGGACACGTCGATCTTGGCAACAATGGAGCTAGCCGGGAGGTCTTCACACAGTAGGGTATAATACAGCTCCTGCGGATGGGCCATGTCCCCCAGCAAGAGCTCTGACCCGTGAGTTAACCATCGCAAATGAACAAAATTGTCGCGTGAGTTGAAATGAACGATGCGGCCGAACCAGAATTTGCGGGGAAGCGTATCGTTCACAGGGTCCAATTCCAGCGTAGCAGCTGGCATTTCTCGCCATGGGCCGCGTCGCACAAGAACAAACTCTCCAACTCTATAGTGAATATTTCCGATGCGTGCTTCGCTGAACATGTGTGATGTCCCAAATCTACTGTGACTCCGCTCTTGTGTGACTGGATACGAAATGGAGGGCGGTGGGTTTCGTGCGATTTCCATAAACTCTTTGAGGACATTCCGAGCGGCAGCTGCTTGGGCTTTGGTATCCTCAGGCGGGGCCCGTGCACCAATAACATGAAGCTGCTCCGTGAAATATGGCCGGGCGAGTTTCAATATCAGCGGGGTCACGTGCGTTTGAAGCTGATTTTCTGGCCGAAGGAGCGCGATATCAGGATTCCCAACCATGGAGCGGGTTTGCGGACGACTTCCTCGAGGTCGGAATACACGGTCGTTCATATGGCCACCGAGGAGTTGCCGCAGCAAAGGTGTTTGTTTGAGGTGAGCGAACGCGACATCCTCCAACGCTTCCAGAATATAAGGTATCTATGCAGAGTTTCAGAGAACCAAAGACAGTACACGAAAAGCCACACAGCTGTTTGTTGCTCTTGATGGGTGCCCCGTAAGACTGTCGATCTTGGGTCAGCCGCTTGAGCAAGTAAACTGCAAGCCATTCGCCGCGGGGCCATGAAGTAGTTGGCCCATAAATCCCCGTACTGGGTTAAGGGGTCCCGTAGTTCATAATACGCCAACTTGGTCTCGATGAATATTGGTCTGCAATCGTTACTAGGTGAACGTGCTCTTGGAGAGTTAGCGACTTACGCATTAGCATCTGCATAGTCCACAGCACACAGCGAAATGTCATGTAGAGTTATGAACCCGGGATCTTGGTCGTGATCATCTTGCCCCACGTCTTCGTCGACATCTTCAAAAAGGGAGTAAATCCCAACAGCGAACCGAGTGGGTGCATCAGCCTGCTTCACCGCGTCAGGAAGAACGAGTTGGTGTTGGGCTTTCGCAAGGAGATTTGCTTCCGTTGCATCGAAAATACAGAAATTCGTTAAGACACGAACGGGTTTTCCGTTATCTGAATCGAATATGGGAATAAACGTGCCTTTTAGCATCGTCAATTGCACTTACGCTTGACTTCCGATTCTGCATCTTCATCCGGTGGACGAAAGTTAGCCTCCACCACCCACTTATTCGCCGAAGGGGGGAGAGTGAAAACTAGTCTAGCTCAATCGACCAACCGATGCGATGAAGAGTGAATTACACCGAGCCGGGAGTTCAGGACGTCGAAAAGCCTGAAAAAAGTCACTCAGAAAACAATGGTAAGTATTTTGGAAAGGTCGTCACATACGTCTTCAAGTTTCGAGGACTCAGCTAAACTTTCTGCTTCCAATTTTCTTTTGCGGCTGAGCTCAGCCTCTTTCCGTTCGAGCTCTTGCTCAACCAAGAAATCGTCAGGAAATGAAACCTCGAAAGCAGTTGGCCGTCTTGGTGGCGGAGCCATCTATGAGCTGGCCAAGTTCATCGAATTACTGTTGAAGAAAGCCGCACAGCCACCATCATTTCTTTCGTCTCTGAGGGTTAAATTTAATTTCTCAGCGTGTATTGTTGAGATGGAAGGCTAGATTCCGATGCTGCTTTTAGTACTTAGGACAGGTATGTTGTACATAGATTTGTGTCTTGTACCACTGGAACCAACCCTAAGGTGAGTGAACGTTCATATCAAGACCAAGGTGGTGCGTAGCTGTACAGGAGACAAGTCCGAGTGGAAAGGAATGGGAGGAAAGGGATAGGCTATGATGAAAGCGCATGGGCAGCACAATTACAGTAAGATATAAACCAGATGGGAAACATTGACCGCATTGACTGACGACTTAAGCAGCAGTCACAGGGGCAGAAGCAGGAGCCGGAACATCTGGACCCGCCAGCGCACCGGTGGGGACTGCCCCATTATTCGTAGACGTTGTCGTCTCACTGACTTGATGGAAGTCTAACAAGGCAATCAGCGTCGAGCTAATCAGGTAACCTCAACACAGACCTAAAATCTCGCTGTACATCATCACTTTCCAGGTATCCACAGGAAGATCGGCATCGTTAAAGCTCCAATCGAATTTTTCGGAGGCAACGGGTTCGTCTGTAGGGTCGTGATAGGGAGCGACGTATTCATGGGCCAGTGCATCTGTCGCGTCTATTCGTTTACGAGGGTCAAAAACCAGCATTTTCTCGAGGAGGTCGATGGCTATGGTCAAGTAAATTTCGGTGTCTAAAGGCGACGAGGCGACACACCATCTGCATCTGCGGTACGAATCTTCTGACTAAACGGCAGAGGCTCTCGCTTGGGAAGGCTTTGCACAAATCTAAGCGTCTGAATGGATTGTTAGTTATCTTATCCGGAGCCGACAGCAGTAGCACTCACGCTTTCACTGGCAATCGTTTCTATGACATCATCTGGCGGTGTGCCTAGAAGCTCAGTGATAATTGTGAACTGGTTGACGTCTGGAGAAATGTCAGCGCTGGACCTGAGAAACATGGAACAACCAACGGTCTTTGCCAGGGAAGAGAGGTTTTCCCTCGAGCATTTCGGCAAAGATGCAACCTGTACTCCAGATATCGACAGCTACGTCATACTTCTGCCAAGTCAGCATGATCTCTGGCGCGCGGTAGTACCGCGTCGACACGTAGCCGGTCATCTGGGGGTCTTGGATACGCGCCAAACCGAAGTCACAAATCTTCAGGTCGCAATTTTCGTTGACGAGAATATTGCTCGGCTTCTGCGGGGAGGGTGAGATCGCATTGCCATTGATTGAATACACACGCACGAGGTCCCGATGAACTACGCCAGCAGAGTGGACATATTTGAGACCTCGCTGCAACCAAATTTCATCAACCATGTCTCACGTCAACGTAAGGCGCCTCACGAGTATCTGGTAGAGGAAGTATTGGATGAACTGCTTCTCAAGTGGTCTTGATGTGAGTAGGCGATGGAGATCCGTCCCGAGCAGTTCAGTGACGAAGTATCTGGCCCATATCAATAACAATGAGTTACAAAGAATAGGACTCACAAATCTTCAAGTGGTGAAATGAAGACATCGCTGAGGCTGATTATCTGGAAGGATTGAGACAACGAGAGTCAGGTCAAGATGAACACAGACATTTTCGTGCTGAAGATGCTTCAGGAGTTTTAACTCTCGATATGTCCGTTTGCTCAACACAGGTGTGCTGAAAGGCTTCATAATCTTCTTTATTGCTACGGAGGTCCCCGTGAGCTGATCTTTGGACGAGCTAGATGCTCAGTTAAGCGCCGGAAAGCGGGGAAATGAGACTGCAAGGGAACACACCAGACAAGCCCAAATGCGCCTGAAAATAAGATGAGTTTGTACAAACGTGCTGTGTGTATCGCTGACCCATTCCGACTGGCTGGAGGTCGACATAACGGGTGGTGACCTAGCGAGGAGTTAGGGAAAAACTTCGAGGAAGAGGAATTGAGGAATGGTACCTCGAATGATGTCCCGAAGATGCTAAGCTTGACAAACGACATAGTGGGTCGTCAGAGGCGGTCAACGATGTACGATTGGCTTGGATTCAAACGCGGGTAGGACTCGGAAGAGCGACCGGCTTCCAGAGGGTGGTGGAAGGGAAGAAGAACAAGGTTTTTGATCGCTCACAACAAAGTTTGCATCGACCATCCTCCTAGGCAACTTTTGACCGGCTCCACCTCCCAAATATATCTACCACATTTATCCGCTACTTTTCCATACCGATGGCACACGATGGCCTTCGCAACGAGCGCCTCTCCAGACTCTGTGCCCCATGACGTCACTGCTTGTGATGACAGTTTTCTTCACACGACCCCTTGGACCTTCTCAAAACCATGTCATTTCTCCGTGTCGCGTCTCTTCGGCCTCTGGTATGTCAATTGCTGTCCAAAGTCGCGTTCTCAGACGCGTCTTTTAGACTGCTGGCGCTCGTCGCTATGCGACCGAAGCGCCGCAAAAAAAAATCCAACCTCCTCCCGTTGTCGCTTGCACTCTCCGGTCTGGGTGGAATCGCGGCATATGTGTATCTCAACCGAACCATAGAACCTCTTCCGCCAGCCCTGAATCCCGACCAATTCATAACCCTGCCTCTCAAGAAGGTCGTTCCTTACAACCACAACTCGAGTACTTTCGTGTTCGAACTTCCTCCGAAAACCTCTTCGAAGCTTCCCGTCGCCTCTTGCCTCGTTGTCCGGGCGACCGATCCCGAAGCTCTCAAGAGCAATGGGAACCCAGTTGTGCGGCCATACACCCCGGTTGAGACCAAGGACAACACCAACGAGCTTGTCCTGTTGGTCAAGAAATACGAGACTGGTGTCATGTCAAAATACATGCACGAAATGAAGGTGAAAGAGCTTTTTTACTTCCTTCTGTCCCTTATTTCCTCAGCCCGGAGACACGCTCGACGTTAAAGGGCCTATCCCCAAGTTCCCTTACAAAGGTCTGTTCCCTCTGACAAATCACATCCGTCAAATCGCTTACTGACCTCCAGAAAATGAGTTCGACGAAGTTGCGCTCATCGGAGGAGGGAGTGGAATGTATGCTCACTTCTCTGCGTCGTTATAATGTACTGACAAAACAACAGCACTCCTCTTTACCAAGTCCTCACCCATGCGCTTTCAAGCAGATTCAATACTACCAAATTCAAGCTGCTCTACTCCAACGTAACGGAACAAGACATCTTACTGAGGGAAGAGCTCGATGCCCTCGCCAAAAAGTACCCAAGCACTCTCGAAGTTGTTTACCTACTCGACAAACCCGGGAATGATTGGAAAGGTCGTTTACCTCGCTCGATTTGCTTGCCTTGTCCTCATTTATGCCTCAGGTCCCTCTGGATTCGTGAATGCGGATGTCATCAAAAAGTATGTTGCACCACCGACGCAACAACGGACAATGGTTATGGTCTGCGGTATGCACATAAAATTCCCAGTCATTGATGATGAGTCTGATGCGTCCCAGGCCCTCCGCCACAGGTCGCCAGCATCGCGGGAAAGAAGGCCGGCATGAAGCAAGGCCCATTAGGCGGTGTTCTGAAGGAGCTTGGGTATACTGAGGAACAGGTTCGTCCCACTGATGCTCACTTAATGAATGATTCACAACTTGGTGAAGGTCTTCAAGTTCTAAATGCGAAATTGAAGAGTAATTTATCCCTCCTAAAGCCTTACCTTGAATTCTATTCGCTTACTCCATCCCGCGTAAGATACCACAAACATGAATATAGGTGGGTACAACTGGTGAAGCGATGGATCGCGTAAGCAACACTACTGGTACTTTAAAGGCACTTGAAAGCACCAAGCACCAGTTGTCTATTTACAGCATTACCCAAGAACGGACCGCCTCCCCAGAGCCAAGATGCGTCATGATGTTCAGCGTTGAGCGACCAGTGCGAGGGGGATTGAGGTGTTGCTATCATGGTGCACCTTTTCGTCGGCATCGCCACTACTTTTGCTTGCATTCCCAGCAACGGTCCCACGGTCCCCGACTGGAGAATTGCTCATTTTGGGCATATGGAGGTGCTGGATTCTCGGGACTGCAACTAGAGTGAAGCACGGTCACCCAAACGTCTACTACGACTAAGATAGAACATTAGAGAGTGCGGGTAGGCATCAAGTAAACACGCACAAAAGGCTGCAAGTCGGGGTGAAATGTGTCACCAAAACCTGAAAAAGAGCATGTAAGTATGAATGATTGACAGCGCCGCAGTGGAGCAAGAAACTGACCAGTATGTTAGATGGTCGTCGAGAGGAGAGAGAGAGAGAGACTGAGGTGGCGGCCTGCCAAAGAATGTAGCACAACGCGACCAAGTCGGACGTCAAGTTGAGCCCAAGCTCTTAGTAGATGCAATGGGACAAATAAAATCGACGAAAGAGCTTCAGCAAAATAGGCGGTAGAAGAGCAGCTGTTTGCCAAGTGGTGGTCAAGAAGCAAGAGCGACTGCAGTGGCGGTACGGCGGAAGTAGCAGATTTGGTCCAGTATTATGTACGATCGCTTCATAACGATCAATGGTGGGATAGCAAATCTAATCTAATCTAATCATGCATGGCGAACTACTGTAGTACTAGCGCTTACGATCAACCGGAGTTCATCCTCGAGCGAACATAACAGAGCCTCCACTCGTCCTGATTGCGTCCCGATCAATATATATGTCTCCGATAAAATTAGCTCGATATGCACCTTATAAAGCTCGCTGTGTACTACCTTAGAGAGAATTCATGGCCAAAGTCGCAAACTCTTGCCTCACTCTCACTTCCTGCATTGACAACCCCGACATCCAGTACATTGTCCTTGCAGGGTTTATTCTCTGCGCTAGCATTCGCTTCGCCGGGAAGATGGTCCCCCACACATGCATGGAAGACCTTGATTCAAGAAACCAAGGACCATTTCGACAAGGCACGCGAGGAACACCTTTTGCGCGATCACAACTTCAGGTTGAGCATTCGATTGCAACTAGCCCGGTATAACTCTGTCTTGTGTTATGTGGACACCACTCAAAGTGACACAGTGCCCAAGAAAATAAGGCGCTCCTTCGCTCACAACTCCTCCATAAGTATACTCATGGATTGACTTCTTCTTCGGCACGAGAGTACCTGCACGTACTCGGTGATCTTGCCACGAGGATACGAAGATGCAGAAGAGACATTCAGAAAGCCCAGGTGTCCTTGTTGGTATGATTTCCTTTTCACTGTCAAGTCGCCCGTTGTTCAAATCGAGTCGCTAGAGAAAGATCGAGGACGAGAAGCGGAATGCACACGAAGAAGAAGTGTCCGATATAACGGTCGTGATAGCATCGGGAGAGTGTCTAGCTAGCGTCGAAGCGGCTAAGAGCTGTGAAGGCTATATTTTGTTGTACATACATGGTTTGAAGGAAAGAGTGCTCCATCAGCGAATCTGTAGAATTCTTGTGAGGGCGTGTGAGCAAATTGATCAAGCGTGATTGAATCACAGTCTCGTTTCCTTCTCACAAGCTCTCATGAGCGCTTCAGACGGCTGACAAGTCTGTGCTGCGCTAGTGAGTATCTCACCTGTAAGCTATTCGACTGCCAGTGACTCACGATGCACCGTCCAGCCTCAACCCTCACTATTCAGTGGACAAGATGCCAGACACACTGCTCATTTGTCCATCACCAGTCGCATCAAGGAAACATGAGCAGCAGGCGAGGCCCGCGAGCACCTCCGTCAACAACCCCTGCCAACGACACTCTAAACGGCCTGTGTGACGGTGACATCCAAGTTGCCCACCAACACAGATCCATGTCGTCGATACCGACTGCATCCACACCAAACTCGCAAGCGCTCGACTCCAATGTGGCCGACCTATGGGGTTGGGAAACTGTTGCCAGCTCGCAACCTGAAGAGGAGGAGGAGCTTCTGAGGGCTCAGGTGCGTTCCTCCAGCTTTTATGTCTTCCATTTTCCTCACTCGCTTTCCAGCACCCTTTTCCGAGTCTCATCCCACATATCAGTCATCCATTGGCCATTCGTGGCTACATCACTGCGCCTGGTGGTCGCCAATTAGCTCTTCGTGTTCCGCCCAGCGAAAGGTCTCGAATGCGCATGAGTGCAACGAAAGCTGGGCTCCAAAGACGTCGCCACCGTTACCTGGTTTATCGTGTCTCTCAGGCGCGCTCTTCTTTTATTCTTACACCTCTACCTCTGATTGCATTGTTAGATGCCACAACATTTACGCGAAGGTGCTTTACTGGAGAAGCGTGCCATCAAGCGGCAGCTTAAATGGCTCGACAACGCAACGAGACGGCTACGTGCCGAGCACAAATACTTACAGAGGGTTCTTCGAGCCCCAGGTGCTCGTGGTTCTCAAGAAAATGTCTCTATGATGTTGATGTAGTTTGCATATACAACTTATCGTCGTGCCGACAATTCCCACAAACACAGACTGTTATTTAGTAGCTATAAGCGTGAATATCTAAGTCATTGTTGTCAAGTTGTGAGTCGCAATCTGACCCATTCTCTATTTCCTCTTCCTCTTCACTGCCCACTCCATAGTCTTCATCATAATAGAACTCTGGTTCATCTGATTCATTCTCCATATCAATCTCAGTAACCTCGTCATCTCCATCGTCAACCGCTACGTCGGTTTCATTGATATCCTCCAAGTCAAGGTCTGAGCCTTCTGCATTGGTTGCATTTCCGGCTGGTGGTTGTAATAGTGTGACGGTTGGTAAAGTGGGCCCAGGTTCAGCATGAGGTGGAACACTGTCGAAGGAAGAGGTACCACAGTCGAGATGGCCGACACCACCACCGACATACCTCATGAGCATATCCCGATCAGCAAATCTGTCCGAGCCCAGCCAGGGTTAGCAGCCATAAACGACGATTACTTCCACGCACATATCAACATAGTAGCTCTTCCAATCATCGGTCTCGTCAAATGAGCGAGCAGCAGTTGGCTTCCGTGTTGATAACAAATCGTTCGTTCGACCACCCGCAAAACGTGGAATGAGATGGCTAGCACGGATAATATGAGCCGGATCGAGAAACCCAAAGGCATATGGATCATCTTCGGGAACAAAGCCAACCTGCGGTAGCTGTGCGGCTTCGAGGTCTCCAGGGCACTCGGGAACGACACCCATCCATCGAACCCACATAATCTCCATTGAAACTGGTGGTGTGGTGCCAGTCGAAAGAGAGCGATACGCTCTGGCATGGAAGATCCCAATAATCTTGCAATACCAGTATGGATGAGTGGTTCCATCTGGTGCCCGCATCATAACGAAGGGAGTCGTCAGCGGATTGACCGTATTGTAGTCTCGTCGCACGTCGTAGGTTGTATAATTGATGCGTAGAGTTCTGGTGGCGTACAAAGCATTGTTCAGCACATAAACTGTGTTTCGGTCAGCATCGGTGAAATCGTGGTGGTCGTCACCATCGAATTCTCGGTGTTGTAGCCGTCCAAGAATATGATCTTGTAGTTTTGGGTAAAAGTCCTGCCACAGATTAGATGGATGGACAAAAGCATAGACTACTGGTACCTTCATTGCTGGGTCTTGTGTCCCGACAAATCTTGGAATGTCAATTGGAGACCGGCGAGCCCAGCTGGTGTGATGATGAACTCGGAGCGATACCATTCCAAGTGGGTCAGACAAGCCTGAACGGACAAGGTGAAAATGTTGAGGCTGTCGAGCGCGATGAGCCCGTGCGGCTGCTCGTGCCCGTGCAACACGCATATAGCGCTGAGCAAGTTGACGCTCATGGCCATTCTTATTCGTCAACATGTACATGCGCTTGAGAAGGCGATGTAAACTTTCACCCTAGAGAATCTTTGTCAGAATCCCGTTACTGCACAAGGGAGATATACTTGCAATCTGGGTTGAATAGATGTCAGTCGGGCCAAAAAGTCGAATGCTTTGGACATAGTCCCCTAATGAATGCCATTTGTAGGTATTAAGATTGAATGCTTTGCTCTTGGGAGTCGACGATGATGTCTTGCTTCCAGATGCAAGAGCTTGGTCATGGCGATGACGGGCTTCTCGCGGCAATTCTCTTGTCCGAAATGCAGTGCATGTCGTCTGTTGAAAATCGCGCATAAGTGTTCCGAGCTGACTTGTAAGCATATCGAGGTGGTTGAGAGTGTGGTCGGTATGCATTCTGAGCTTTGCGTACCCATGCCATTCTGCAAGACGGTACAAGAGCTTGAGGATGCGCAAGTCATGTTCGCTCGTTGTGGGGAGGGAGAATAAGCCTTCAAAAACGGGAATTGCACATTGCAGTAGGTCTTCAAAGTCCCGCGCGCTCAACTTCTTCATTTCAGAGGCATTTGTTGCAAACCGGCGTATGGTATCGATACCAAATCTTGGAACCTGCCGATATCTGCTGACTGTATGAGAGCAGTTATGGTCGGAATTATAAAGCATACCGTGAATCCAGTTCTGCTACCAGAGACGGCCCATCTGGCATGGCATACAAGAGACGGATAAGATGTGTAAATAGACTCTTCCAAACCCCGAGCTCAAACTCATGCATGAAGTCAACGACTAACATACGGTGAAGGGGGAAATCATGACCAAGGCGATCGATGAACGCATTCTAGATAATATTCAAAACAGAACAAGGCAACTTGAACGATACATACAACAGTTGGCACGGATGAAGTTGCCTTGAGCTCCTTCTCCACCTTGCTAGAGCGAACTCCCAAACCAAAGACATAAATGAATCGTCGTGCCTTCGCAATCTTGCTGGAAAGGTATTGTCGAATGAGATTACTTCCACGATTTACTAAATCTTGAATCTGCCCCATAAGGTGGAGCTCGGACTTGGGGGTTAAACAGCGAGGACAAGGGCATTCCCCATTTTCACGTATTGTTGCCAGTAGAACTCTGTCAATGTTTTTTCAGTCGGCTATGTTAAATTATTGTAAGCTCACTTCTCTGGATAATCGGCAGAGTATGTGAATATTCGAGGATAAACACGTCGCTCGACACCATCTGCACATGTTACGACAATCCCATACCGGTAATGATAGAGGAATTCATCGTCAAGTAGGTGCCTCCATACAGCATGAATGAGCTCACGACGGCAGTGGGCCAAGACGGATGCCTTTTGTGTATTCCATTTCGTGAAAATCGACTTGATTCGGTCTTGTATCGAATCCGGAAGCTACCAGCGTTTATTAGTACTGACATTTAGATAACACAAAAATAGCATACAGAAGGAATATAAGCGATATGGTGTTCAGCACCGATACTTGGTTTGCCGCCAATGTATTTAGATAGGTTACCGAAGAGCATGTAAATCGGCCAAAGCTTTGCTGTACCGAAGTTTGTCAGATGAGTCGAGTCGGACCAAAACATGAGTGCTGCAATGATTTTCTCCCGTTTACATTCAGGATTATTGGGAGGCAGGAGACCATGACGTTGGATGTGGTCGTGTTCCGCAATAAAGGCATCAGTGTTGTAGAGCTCACTATACACACGAATAGCCTCTGTATCGTGTCCGTGAAGTTTCCGAAAGAGTTTGAATGGTGAAAGATGGAAGTGCTGGGATAATGGATCGGTGAAAGCGGCCTTGATAACATCGATTAGGTTTCGGAAGTAGAGGCCCGGAACTGCAAGAGTAACAGGTGGGGCTCGTTTCACTCCGGTAGGAATTTGAATGTCGACAGTTGTGGTCTTAAAATCTTTCATGAATGGGAATGAGGTCTTTCCATCTTCATCAACCTGTTTATTGGCACGACTTGCATCGAATCCCACCAGTTCATCGGCATTAAATGCAGGGTCGAGAATGACATCGCGGACCAGCGAGTTGATTTCACCATCCGACTTTGTTACATTCCCATTATTCTTCCAATCCATCAACAGTGTCGCAGTTGCATTCGTCCCAACCCGTTGAGCTTTAGGTACTGTAGATTCACTTGGAATGCCCACCAAAGGATTTGGAGCAAAATTGCCAGCTAGATCGGCATCTTCAATGAGACTGTCCGGATCGTATGATGGACGATACAGATATTCTCGCCACAGCCCAAACACGCTCGTCATCAAGGTCTTGAACCGATTACGCACAATGAGCGTAACACGAGGCAAGGTTGACACCGAGACCTCCTCAATTGGTGCAACATCGGGGACAAAGTCTTGGAATCGTGCTGGCAGGCGCGTTGCCCGCTTCGGGCGGCCAGAGTCTGTTGTGTCATCCGGCATTTGGACAGCATGACTTGGTTCAGGTGGCGGCGGTGGTATGGGGTCATGGTTAGAAGGCTGTGGGGTTTGTATGGATGGCCCGGGTAGATGTGGTTGCAAGTTAAGATCGGTCAGCGGTGAGTGCTAGTTGGTTTCAGTAGTTCCTTTGAAGTAAGAGAGCAAGGGACAGACCAGACGCTGCCGGTTTTTCCTCTCCGAAAGGCCAGGTGGTGCCTTGCGCTTTGCCGAAAGCCTTTCTCTCACTGTTGGGACCTGGATCGTGCCCGACATCGAGCGCTGTTGATGCATTGCAAGTTGTTCTTGCTGAAACTGTCGATAACTGGCACAAGTCGAATGGTGTCGGGTCAGCCATCCATGGTCTGCAAGTATTGCACCACAGGACGGCGCCAAACAACAGAATGTGGCGGAACTGCCAAGAGTGCTGGCGGCTGGCATGACAAGAAGAAGTCCAAAGAGTATAAGCAGAACAGAGGTAACTCGTTGGCGAGATGGCGCGGGGATATAACAGCGCGGGACCATCGGTGTTCAAGAGATGAGCGCACGACTGTCAGGCACACCGTAGGAGGAGGAAGGAAAAATGAGTTGTCTTATTTGTGGATTTACACGTTTCATACAGTAGTCAAGGAAATGATCCTCGCAGTCACTGTAAAAAAATTAGCCCCCGTTACCTATAAAAGAAATAGCCACACTTTTTTGTCTTTCCGAGTCTTTCCTTTCCCCCATCTCTCTCTATCGGCCACATTGAGAATGTCGCATCTCATAACCCCAAACCCATCATCCTCCCCAGCCCGCAATACGTCGACAGATGGGTCAGACGACATCGTACCAGTTGACTGGAAGGCAAAGTATATGGCACTTGAGGCCCATTCACGGCTAAGCAAGCGGAAGCGGTCTGGAAAGTGAGTCAGCTAGTTGACTATAATTGACGGCACTCATACTCCCTCTAGCCAGACGGAAGGCCCGGGCAGCATTACGCAGCAAGGCCGTGGTATCCGCTTACTTGTGTCTCTTTTTCTTGACCCAGCACAGATTGTGGCTGCCGGTGAAGCATATGAGCAAAACCGTCAGGAGCCCCTTGTGTTTGACGAGTTCAACGACGAGTTGACAGAAGAACAAGAGAAAGAGATTGCAGAACGTCGTCCGTAAGTCCAAAGGTTCTAAGGGTGCTATGGTTCAAATTCCACACAGAGATGAACGGCTTTTCACCTCATATAGCTTGCTACTCCAGCTTGTCCCAGGACTCCTGTATCAGTTGACTCACTGCGACAATCCCGATGATTTGACTAGCTACTACATTCAGGTCAGCGTGGACAGACACCAAAGAACAGCCACTCACCCTTCACAGCTCAATAAGGGCGCCAACGATTCACGCAGCGACGATATTGGTCGGATTACACGGCTACTCGCAAACCTCATCAACACCGACCGATACAGCAAGGAGATTCTTCAGTTTGACTTCACTCCACCTGCAAAGAACCAGGATGGTCAAACAATCCGAGACCAGCACGGAAAGACAGTCCGACAATACGCACCTATATTGACCCAAGAGCGCAGCAATAGAGGAGTTCAGCACGACATCTGTGGTGGCTTGCTGTCGTCGACTGACTGTGACTGGAAAGATGAAAAGTGTGTTGTCATCTTTGATCTTACTTTCACTCACTCGCCGAGTTCATTAGTGTCCGGGTTGCAGCACGAAAATTCGACCCAGACTCAACTCATTCTGCTTCCTTTCTCTGTCGGGTCTTCTTTCAAGGTTTCGAGCACAAACCTGGAGATCTGTATGACGGTTTCCTCCAATCGCACTATCTTGTGAATGTCAGTGTCCAGTCTTCAATGAGTCTGTCTCACAACTGCTCAGTGCTATAAATCTGTTTTCTTGGGTCCTTCCTCTGTCAAGAACAACGAAAATGTACCACCTGCTGCGAAAAGAAGCAAGGTTAATGTGGGCCAAGCTCGCAATGTTGCTACCAAGCTCCAAATGAATGGTCGTGTTACCGGAAGATCTGTGGCCTATATCGCGGTGCTGGTATGTACTACTCCCCGAGAATGCTACACCAACTAATCATGTGTAGACCCATTTCTGCTTGACGAATGCAGAACAGTGGACAGAGGAATTTGGCGGCTTCCTCTATTCCTCGATGTACAACTTTATTGTGGATTATTTCGAGGCTGCGCGTGTAGGGACAGCACACCGGGAGCGTGCAGATACACTATTAGCTTGGTGGGACAGGTGAGTGACCTCAAACACGCACTTTCACCCAGACAATCTGACCGAGACAATAGTCAAATCTTCCCAAATCACCCTTCAACCCGAACTGTCAGTAAGACTACCGCCAACACCATCGCTCGATTACGGGGTCATTCTTAATCCAATCATTGCTAGTTCCCATACAGTATCTAATATGAATATATCATTCAATATCGTCACAGTCGGAAAGTCTTGTTGGCTCTTGCAAGGTATATATTAAGCTTGTATTCTACTTGCAAGGTCCTATCTATCTTGCGGGGCCTTGCAAGTGGTGGAAAGTCTTGTGCATGCTCACAAGCTGCCAGTCGACTCACGGATACTTTCGAGCTCTGCTAGTGATTGGGAAAGTGGATGGCGGCGACGATCGCTCACGAGCGCCTGTTAGTGACTGCCCGGCTGATGCCCTGATCACAGCACTCGTCGTCAATTCACGAGTTTCGCCCGTGCTTGTGAGCACTCAGCAGCATTTTCCAAATTCGCTGATGCTCCTGCTTATATAATACTAGTACAGATCAACGGTTGGGCCGACCGTCTCATTGTTAAATCCCTCAATCAATCTCCCAAGTACGTTTACTCAGATTCATTTAGTACATAAGAGTTGTGCAGTCGGCGAGAAACCGTCAAAATAAAAACAAGAATGTCCTTTTTCGCCCAGTCACATCCGTGACCTACCATCAACACGCTACCGGCAAACTACAACGACCTCTTTTTGCGGTTCAAAGTCGAATACAAGGAGCGCGTATAAGTACCATGGTCGCTGTGTCGATAGACTACTCTTTCCCCGACCCGGTGCTGAGCGCCCTTTGACATGCCCACTTCAACCGCACTCGCTTCTTTTCTGCCCAACTTCTTGCTTACGCGTCTGAGATGGGGAAAGTCTTGCTATATTCACCGCCTCAGCTTCGACATCTTCGTCGACTCGGTCTTCATCTATCTGTACATCGAGGACATCATGTGTTTGCGACGAGTATGGTTTCCCTCCATTGTGCTCAACGTTTGGACTGACTGTGGTTGCAGGTGGATCGCTTTTTCTTCTTGCTTACTCACGAGCCGGTCATCTGGAAACGCTTCCTTGAGCGAATGAAGACTCCCATCCCTCCTTTACGACCCACGTTCCGATACTCTTTCCAAGTAACCGACTTTGAAGTCGAACAACTTGTCACGCGTGCCATTTCACTCGAGGACAACTGGCGCGAAGACACACCCCTTGTGAAAGTCCGCAGAATAATGGACTCGCACCATCGCGTTCTTGATATGAGTCTGCTCCCCGGGGGAAAATTCCTCGTCGCCTCCGTTCGCGACTTGGACAGCCATCGCTATTACCTCACGCTCTTTTCTCTCGAACATCCCCAGGGCTGCTGTGCTGTGGCCAGACTGCCTACGGGCTCCAAGGCGTATGACCTCCAAGCCAAGTATATCAAGTACAAGGGAAAACAGGGGATCATGATTGCATATACCAAGCGGACCTTTCTGCACGGCGAAGTAAATGGGTGAGTTTCTTTTAATGTTTATTGGCCAAGTCTCAGGCCAGTTCAGCGTCGACCCCTCAGACTATAGCGACACTGATGTCGTAGACCCAGCTGCGCCGCTCTGGTACGAAAACCTATGTTGGCATGTTTCTTTAGATACTCTCGAGGAGTTAGTCGACCCACGAGTTATACCCGGCTCAGCGGAATTCCAAGAGCTTGCGATGGAGCGCGAAAAACCTTTCTGTCAAATCTCCTCATACGAGTCTGATAAACGTATCAGCTCATTGAGCTTGTTTGAACTGGACAATACTCCACACATTGCTTTTGTCCAGGGCCCGACAACAATTGTCTTTGTCAATCTGGACTCCGGCACTATAAAACCGATGTTGCTCCAGAACTACAACGGCGCGGCTGAAGGGGTCGGTTTATGAATTTCACCCAGTTGCAACTTGATGTCTGACATACCTCTAGGACCACAACATCCGCACTTTTCGTGTCATTCCCGCACAACACGACGTTATGGTTATTCGTTCGGTCACGTTCCAAGAGGCGGACACCCACAGCCAAACTGAGCACGTCATGGAGATGTACCACATTCCCTGCTCCGACCGTCCTATCCCAGAAGGGAATGGCAGAATCCACCCATTCGAACGATGGCCAGTTGACCCACGAGAATACGACAGTTTCCACATCTCTGACCCCGTCATTCATTCCATCGGCCTTGACCACCCCCCGTCTTCAACCCGCCTCCGGCCCGCCAGCGCCCATCTCGCTATACTGCCGCATGACTGACCCTGCCGGTCTCGCCCACTACCTCATCTGGCCCAAAATCGTCGAGTCGCCCGGCCAACCAACGAAATATTTTTTCAACCTCGAGTTTGTTGTCCCACAGACTGTGCATGTCAGCTCTCCCTACGCGACAAACGTCCTTCCCGGCGCCTCAAGAGCGCTCGTGTTTTCAGTCGAGAATGAGCGACAAGGCTCGCCCCGGGTCATGGCCGTGCGTCGGTACCTTTCGCCACAGCTCCAGCCTCTGTGGGCGCAACGCCCAATGGAGGATCCAGTCGAGCCTATATCCCGAAGACAGCGACCAGGGCTATCGAAAAAATGCTTTGTCCGTCAAACTAGCTTTTTTCACTCTCCGTATCCTGACATTTTCCCTAGTCCACATTCAATCTTCCCCGTTCCATTCGACGCAAGCTTGACGACGAAGGGCTGGCGGCGATAACCTGGGACGAGGCTATCGGGCGGGTCTGCATTGCCTGTGGGAACGACCTGCAGATCCACATCTACGATTTCGCGTTTAGCGTTCGGCCCGATGACCGTTTTCGACAGTGGAAGATGGCCCAGCAGATCCGCCCCAACATTGTAGACCCCGGGCAAGCCATGCTTGCATCGTAATATAACCAAGACACTTCCATTGAAGCTTATCCTGTGTATCGCATAGACCATGATATAGTTTCTCTCACTCCCTGGAAGTGAGTTTGTGAAATTCGTTCTGCCCTCAAGCCTAGTCTTTCACCACGATTGAGGACTTATTATCTGTCGTAGGTCTGAGTTTACATTGTAAACCACTTCAGATTTGTCGACGCCAACTAGTCAGACAAGAACCACGTGCCAGTGGATAGCTCTTCACCGCGAACACCGATGACACGTCCAGTTATGGCCTTCCATCTCTCATGCTTCTATGCTATATGCACGCTGACCCATCTAAAACAGCGCCACGAGCGCTACCTACAACAGGAGCGACATTTCCCCAACATGAACCCCATCATGCACACAATAGCACAATACTCAACGCTCCCCGAGCACCGCGTCTTACCAGACCCAGAAACTTGCCCATAAGAGCGTAGGCGCCAATTTATTCCCTAAGAATGTGAATAAGCAGTGCTGTCAATGCTCGCAGGGGAGAACTATAAAAAAAAATGAAACTCGATTATCTGGATGATCGCGGCGGCTGGCGCAGCTCGTTCGGCGCAGCAGCGTATCCGAAGTCGTCGTGACACACTCGTTAGTGTCTACTTTACTTGTGGCACTAATTGACTCGAAGGGTTGAGGGTCAACATTTTAAATTAGTTGGAAAACTTTTTCCAGTGTGAAATGGACTGGCCATAACAACGGGAGGAAGGTAACTGCATCACACGCTTCCAAATCGGCACAACTCGACGCTGAATGGAAGGCTTGTGTATTGTTGACCAGTTCAGGCATGATACTTGCCCTAAACACACGCAGTTGGTGTCAGAACTTGGGTAATTGAACCTCAATTGTCTGAGACTATCCAAATCACTAAAATTGCTCACTTCAGGTTGAAAGTAACCACTGAAATCATAGTACACTACATGCATTGCTAGATAAGTAGTGCTAACAATGTCATGATAACCTTCCCTTCAATCCCGGGCCTTGGCCACTACGCAAACCGTTCGGAGGTTCCGAGTCAAATTACCAGTATGTTGCAACTACAGATGTTTCAACGGTGATGGCTGCTCGAGGATGAAGCTGACCTTCGCTTTCAGTTGCTTGAATAATGGCCTTGACCTTGTCTTTAATAACTTTCACGTGCGCCTCTGACTCCGGTGTTCCAAGATGAAGAATTCCAGACCAAGCATCGTCTTCAGGAATGATCGAGGAGGTAGCCATAAAAGGCGAGGTAAAATCATATTTTGCGAAATTCTTGTGGAGAGGTGCAGCTGTGTTCAAATTAGGAATGGAGAATATCAAGGTCTCTGTCAAGGGATTTGCTTGTTGTGCAAGGCTCGTCTGGACTGCTTCACGTGCGAGATGACGAGTAGCACGGAGTCTGCGGAGCTCTGGTTGCACGAGAGGGGGGGACAATAGTACATCGCCTTCGTTGTTCGAATCTGACTCGGAGTTGTTCAGCGAATCAATTATGTCTTGAGACGCCTGTGCAGCAGCAGCATCATTGCGCCTCTTTTCCAACTCCTTCACATACTCGTTAAAAATAAATGCTGTCGATCTCGTTGCATCGCGTGTTGCTGCTTGCCAGCACCACCATGGTCCGGCGGTAACAATGAGGATGACCATGTTCTGAAAACCAAATCGAAGATTTGAAAAGAGGCAGTGAGACTGAAATGAAGCCTGGATGCGACCATCCTCCAAGGTATCGATCAAGCCTGCCACGAAGCCTTCCATATTTTTGGGATGTCGAGTGGGCGGATCCTTGCTTTCTACCAGGAGTGGAGCAGCGGAAGCTTTGAGGAGGAGTCATCGAAACGGAAAGTTACGCCACGAAATACTGCTGAGGATGTCTGAAATACTGGTGGTGGTGGATGACCTGTCGGCGATGTTGGTGTAGACCAAGGACAGCAACTCCGCGAGCTTCATTATCGGCCGCTGTCAACATGCTAGTATCTGCATTTGGCGGTTCATCACCATCGGTTTCGTCTCGGTTTCGATAGATACCGAATTGTGGGATGAGGGTCAGAGGGAAAGCGGAGATGCCCTGGGCATGCACCGCCAAAGCGATATCCAACAACACAGACGTCCAAATACCATACGTTGGGTTCTCCAAACGACGGCGATTGAATGTAGTGCTGTATGAGAGAACTAGGGCGAAAAGGGCAGTGAGAGCCAGGAAAGAGTTTTGAAGCTATGCCAGCTATGCCAGTGGTTAGCAAGTCGACTGTGGCGGTTGTGCGGGTATACCTCAAACAACATGGCGATTATGGAGAAGTCGCTTGATCGCAAAGCTGGCTTTTATCGATTCAAAGCCGTACCCACGCGTCCACAGTGTGACTCTGTTGGGACAACAACAATAGTCATATCGATTCAAGGTCGCACCCACTACTGTACTATTTCATTCAATTCTGCAGGCCTGTGACATGTGACATGTGTGGCAGAAATGTGCAATTCAGCCAAGGGCTGAATTTGGTGTGACCTCCTGCCTTATATGGAAGTTCTGCGCGCCATAGGCGCGGAAAATTTTGGAAATTACCTTTTTGGGAAGGTTTGGGACCAAGGAAATTCGCTGTGACCTGTGACAGGCAGAAAATTTTCAGCCAAAAAAGTCAATGTGACTGTGACAGGACTAATTGATTGAAATAGTACAGTATCATGATGTGACTCTGTAAGGACCAAGTTGGGACAACGAGAACAATAAGAACAAAACAAACAAACAGTCATATCCGAGTCAATTCAAAGCCGTACTCACGCGTCCACAGTGACATGGGGGTATAAGAATGGCCACACATCGTCACAATGGTCACAGCTCTGCACCTTCAGCTTAAACCACCACTCACAATCGCCTCCTCTCAATGTTTGTGTGCTTGTGTCAAAGCCGGCGCCGCTTATCTGCCTTAGGACTACGAACAGCTCGAGGGTGCCCGAGAAGTCATACCGCGGCTTCACGAGAGTGTTGGCTGCATCTCCCGGCCCAGGCCTTGCAGACTACACCGGCGACCCTCCACCAAACGTGCCACGGTACCGCTTTGGATTTATCACCGATTCTGTTACCCTGCGGGGTATTACCCCCCCCGCATCTTCACTACAAGTCTTTCATGACAGAGAACTATCTCGACACTCAATTGAAAGAGTGTTGTGCCAAGCGTGGTCATCAGCCTGAGAATGAGTAGGTTTCCACTGGTATTCCATTATGTGATATTCAACTTCGTCCTTTGTAGTAAAGACATCGGAGTGTTACGTCTTGCCAACAGAGGCTATGATTTGAAGGGCAACAATTTGGCGAATCAGGTGTTGGTATACTTTGCCTCAAACATGACCGAAGAGGCTCTGGCAAGAACGAGAAATGAAGCGCTGCTGAGTGATGTAGCAAAGATAGCCGGAATGGAGAAGGAGGATGCGGCGTGGTTACTTCAAGACTGGGCGCGTCTAGCTGAGGAAGAACACGTGGTCGAGAATGCTTTGTCACTGATTCTGCTTTGTCCGTGTGTATAACAATGGAGCCCTTCAACAAGATCATGATGACTGTTGATTTGATTGGCTGGATGTCGACATGGCATGCATATGCTAAGATGTGGATTCACACCGATTCAACCCTACGGTCGCTCCGGAACGCAACTAGAGCTTTGGGGAAGTCTGCCCGCCATTTTTCTACTCGCACCTCCGAGCTTCAAACACGTGAACTTGTCAAGGAGGCACGAGCCCGGGTATGGCGTAACAAACCGAAATCCGCTGCTAAGCCCACTCGTAACAAGCCATCGGGGGACAGTGATGACCTTCAACTCAAGTACTGGAATATTAACACCATTAAATTCCATTTCCTTGGTTATTATACTGATTCTATCCCACGGTTTGGGACGACTGACTCTCATAGCACTCAAGTAGTAAGTGGATTTCTTTTTCCTCAATCTCTAAGCCTAATATAGACCACAGGGCAAGTCAGAACATCTGTAAGGGCAACCCCGGAGGCCTGAGATCAAGGTCCTAGCAGGGGAGGATCCAAAGCATGAACATTGGTAAGCGAATACAAATGAAGCTGACCTTAGCAGGGGAGGATCCAAAGAGAAGAAACTCTGAGGGTCCGCCTGCTAGGTAGCTGACTATATACTGCTTGTCCGTAGCTGCCGCTGTCAGGCACAGAAGGCTTGGGCGGCGTCGCAGGCAAGGTCCCAGGGCGACCGTTGGGAGGGCGTTGGCAGATCGGTGATTGTGCGGGCGAGATGGAGGGCCGGACCGGAGACGGAACCGGAGTCGGACCGGAATCGGAGGCGTCTCCGAGGGGCCGAAAGGGAGGTTCCCCTGACAACATCGCCGAATCAAGCGCCTGTATAAGCTTACGAACTGCAACAAGCCCGACACCCAGATTGCTCGACATGTGCGACGTGAGCGTCTTTCTAAACGCTGCTGCTGTGAAGATGAATCATGAAGATCCTGCCTGTGCTTCCAAGGCAGCAGCAGCTCTCCAGCAACCACTAACCATAGGGGATACTGCTGTCGAGCCGTTGCCCAAGAGTAACCCTCGTGAACGCTACCAAGTTTCTCAGGGAACCAAGTACCCAGAAAACTTACCACGGTGGCTGAGTGCAAATGCAGGTGATCCAGCGGTAGAGGTATATTCTTTAAGCTATGCTTTTCGACTCAATCCTGACTTTTGATAGAATTTTGTCCCAAAACTCAAAAATCATATCTTGGCATGCATTCTGGGTGGTGACGAAGAGGACGACTTCACTGATGCTGACCGCGACACAATTCTGATTATCAATGACACCGTCTATAAGCATCAGCGAATTCGTTTCAACTATACCTCCTATGATATGCGGCGCAAGCAGGACTCCTGTAACCCACGCACTCATGCTGATATTATGGTGCTTAATCCCAATGCCAACCAGCCACTCCATCCATACTGGTATCTTCTATCTCCTCATCCTCCATACTGGCCCCCGCTCCAAATCACGTGGGGTACAGTCATTTGATGTCCTGGCTGT